TTTTTATTGGTTTTATTTTCATTTTAAATAAAATGTTTAACTTATTTTCAGTATTTATAAATGTTTTTTTTAGAAAATAAATACCTTTGCTAACATCTTAAATAATAATAGAAGAAATAAAATAGTATTTTTATAATATTTTAATATTACTAATACTAATATATAATAATTTTGATAAAAATTACTAACAATACTATTACTGTTAAATCGAGTTTGCCATATAATTTTGATGTGTTAAAAAATGTTAAGATTGTCTTCACTATAAAAGCACATGTTTGTATGTTCATGACTGCATAAAATTTTAACTTTTTTTTTTAAAAATATTAATGTTCATGTTTGAGTGTATGGGTGTGTTGTGTATGCGTGTTCACATGTATGTGTGTGTTTTGTGTGTGTGTGTGTGTCTGTCTGTCTACATGTGTGTGTGTGTGTGTGTTTTTGAGTGTGTGTTTGTTTGTGAGCATGTGTGTCTGTCTACATGTGTGCATGTGTTTGTCTACATTCTATATGTGTGTGTGTGTCTGTGTGTGTTTGTTGTTTAGTAACGTGACACATATGATCCTAATGATCCTATATGATTTTTCTGTGTTCTATCGTTTCATTGAATGTAATCCCACGAGTCATCAGTTTATTCATTTGAATATAACTCATTTAAAACATGTTTATTCATTCATTCATTCATTCATTTATTTTATCATTCATTCAATCATCCATTTATTCATTTATTTATTCAATAATTAATTTGCTTGAAAAATTTTTTAATTTTTTTTAAAAGTTAATTCTAATTGTAACAACTCATTATTTTCAAACATTATTCCAAATAACTTGGACGTTAACTGGTCTACAAAAACTTTTACCTTCGAAACAACTTTATTGACCGTGAAAATATCTGTTTTAATGCCACCTAGATACACAAATGTGTTTTATACCAAAAATAAAACAAAAATGAAAAAACAGAAAAACAATTGCAGTCATTCATTTTCATTTTCTTATCAAGAATGTGTATCAATTATTATATTTTTCATGATTTTGTTTCAATAAATGTGTGTAAATTGGAATTTTGTTTTGTTTAGCTAATGGGAATTTCAAATTTTGGCTAAAACTTCAAAACTTAAGATTAAATAAATAAAGTAAAAAATTTGTCAATATGAGCGTAATCCAATCTTCAAGTCGTGTAATATTGGCTACTATATTTAACAAATGTGTATCAATTATACATTAAGCATTATTTTTAACGAGCAGTAACAAAACACATAGTTCATGTAAATACATTGCTTAATGCGTGATGGCCTGGTGGTTAAGTGTGCCTGGTGCTCTTTCGCAGTAACCGGGTTCGAATATGACGAAAAGATCCCTGCCAATCAAATGAGTCGCTGGTGATGCGTCATTTAGATGTTTGTTGAATCCTCTGAACTTTTGAAGAGTGTAATTGACCTTTAACCTTTTAACCTTTAATACATTCCGACAGACAGTTCCATAATTGTATTATATTATCACTATGTAATACTACTGTAAAAGTGAATTCTATATTGCTCAAAAATTACGCATAATCAGGTAAATTGATAAACGTATTTATTGATATATAATGTACAATATACATTTAAATTTGTGTTTGTTTGGGTATGTGTACGTGTTTGTGTAGTGTAATTAATTTGAAATCTATAAGGGTACCACAACCTAAGAACGACTGCATGCCAGTCAGACAATAGGCAGCTTCAATTGTGTGCATTCATCTGCATATATGAATAAAAGCAGCGAAAAAACGCTAAAACTTTCCCATATTGAATCATACGCAGATTTTAGATTAAACCTCATTTCTCAATTTTAAAAATGTAAGATTTCTTAGTTTGAAACGTAGTTTGCAGATTGAAAACAAACTAACTCCAAATCGATAAAACGTTTGAAGAAGTTTTGCAAAAATGAAACTCTCGACAAAGATAACGGCACTGCTCTGCGTTGTTTCTACAATCTCCATTACCCAAACGAACACCTCTGAGAGCAAACATTTGAGAGTGAAACGACAGACAGAGGACAACAATGTAGCCATCCAAAGCCTCATCAACAAGTTGGGACCCAGGCAAGCAGTTGATGTGATATTTGTTATCGGCAGGCATCGGTCTATAGGCAAGAGAGCTTTCTACGGAACTGGTATGAAATAAATTTTTGCAGCCTATTTAGTTTTTACATTATTTCTTGTGTGAATCGTTTTGATGTCTCATATTTGAAATTAGTATTAACTTTTTACTAATAGATAGTTGAGTGGTAGCATCTTAAAATAACAAAATTAGAAAAAATGTTTCTAAAAAATGATAATTTATTTCAATTTCATCATGAAATCTTGAGACGTTTTAAAACTCCATTTACTGTGATATTCATCCATTGAAAATTGGTAGCATTCTAACTTGCGACCTTCTAACCTTCTACCAACACAGCTCGTCCAATGTTCATGTCCATATTGAAGCAGTTCGCAAGCGTCCACAAAGATTATGCTAGAGTGGCGGTCATGTCGTTCGGAAGCGAGTACAGTGTCGACTATGACGACATCTCTAACAACAGCGGCTCTGTCTACCCGAAAAATAAATGCGATCTTCTACCACAAGAAACCGGAGTCCCGTGCGAATTTTTTTTTTGAAAAAAGCGATTCAATTAAACCTCTTATTTCATTAAAATAATCTTATTTTATTAAAATAATAAATAGAGTAATCCTAATTATGTATCTTTTGCTAATTTAAACCCAAAAAATACTTTAAATTTTAATATATCCACATGCAAATCCAAATTACCTAATTACCTTAGTCAGCCGTTAGACAAAGTTGTATACAAAGACAACGAGGATCGGACAAGTTGTGGATTGCAGGGTGCCTTGAGTAAGGCAGGCGAGATATTCAGAAAAAGTATCAAACCTTCAAATATGGTATGGATATGTATGGTATGGATAGATTGTAGAATCTAACTTTTATGCAATTTATTCGTTAATGAGTTAATTTAATAGGGTTTCAATTAAATTGAATATTTTAACAAAATGTAAGATTTCAATATTTAGAGTGTTTAATTTTGTTTAAATTTATTTTTTAAGGCATTCAGTAGGTTATAATGAGATTTTAATATGATATTATTACGTGAAAAGGTAAAATAATATCAAAGGTAGAAACATAAAATATAGTGAATAAATTTATGTACTTACGTGTAACCACCAGGTACTGGTCCTCATGTCAGATGGCAACTTCATGGGCTGCAACTTTAACGACTTCGGAAACGTTGTGAGACTGCCAGAGGTGACTAACTTGATGATGAGAAACGTGTTGATTCACGGCATCACTTATGGACAGCTGAATAATGTTTACAGTTCAACAATTAAAAGTTTGATTAAATTCTGATTTTTTAAAAATTTAAATCGTCACAGAAATTATTGTTTCGGATAACTCATCTAAGAATGAAATTAAATAAAACAAACTTATTTTACGTTAAGCAATGTCAATTTTAATCCATTATTAATTCAATTCAATCTTATGTTTGACAAGAACTCCTAAATTAAAATTCAAAATTAAATTTCATATTAGCGAAACAACAACAAAAAATATTTTTTAAACTACAGATATGGTTAGTACAGAGAACGGTGTTTATATGTATGCGTCATCTGCTGCTTGGAGTGCACGCTTATCTTCCGCCACAATTAATAGCCCAAGTCATGAAGTTTTTCTTTTTTACATATTTTGCATATCTAATGGTATATTTTTAAAAAAATTATTGCCAATAAATAAAATTCAAAATTAAAATATTATCTAATAGATCTTCTTTTACAACGAATATAGAATTTCAATTTAAGGAATTCTTTTGAAAATAGGAAATAGGATTGAATCCTCAAAATTTCTGGACCCAGTTAGCAGTGATTTTTGCAGATCCACCCAAGACATTCCAAATTCAAGTTGCTACTGCGATGTCAACTTTGGTTATTATAGAAGGCTTTGTGATCCTGGCTACATTGAAACTCCTTTCAAAACGTGCCAAGGTTTTTATTCACTTGTTTCTAAATATTTTTCTCTTTCTTTTAAGATGTTTGACATCTGTATCTTGTTTGATTCTTTTGATCATTGGCTTACATTTTTGAGTTATTTTTTAACGTTTAATTTGCTTATGATTCTCTGGTGTTGTGGCTGAAATTTTTATTATAGCCTCATCAAAGCCATCCATATTTAAATTAATAAACGAATGAATAAATAAATAAGAAACAAAAATAATAAAAAAAAATAATATAAAAATAAACACTAGCCTGCCCTCGTAACACGTACAAATCTTCCATCGGCAAGGGTGATTGTTTGAACTGCTACCCAAACTACGTAACTGCATTCACTGCATCAAAGAGTCTTAGTGACTGCAGGCCAATTAGTGTCTCTGCGCCAAGTTATTTATTATTTCTCTTTTTATTTAAACTTGTTAAACATTTTGTCAAATAATTTATTTAATTGTTTTATCATGTTTAATTCAACTTCATACAAGTCTTTTCTTGTAAAAAAATTATTTGCTTCGCGTATTATTTAATGGAAATAATTTTTTTAAGCAAACAATCTGGAGTCAACAAAATAGATAAAAAGTTTACTTAAATTTGTTATATAACAATTAAACCAATCTTATGAACGCTTGTTACATCAAATTAGATTGAATGTTTTTCAATATTTTAACAATAATAACCGCCAAAATACAATATGAATGTTGATTAAACTTATGAGAACCATTTCCAATGAAGTATATGCAGATCCGTGCGTGAACAACAACTGCAGTCCCAACCGAGTTTGCCTCTCTGAATTCAGAGGATTGGAATTAGTCGGTCGAAACTGTTCTCTGTGCGAGTCTGGTTACGATCCGATGACGAACTGCATCACGAGTATAAACGACTGTGCCGCACCTTCTGCAACCTGTAGCAACAATGGAAAGTGTGTGGATGGATGGAATGACTATTCCTGCTTATGTGAGAATGGTTTCTATGGAAAAACTTGTCAAAACAACTTTGACAGCTGCAGGTGTGAATTTTTAAATAGTCCATCTTATTTTCAAAAAAAGCAACACTCAGTTTTTTTAAAAGTCTATAGAAGTTAGAATATTTTTTGTTATATATGAATGATAAGACGAAAATAAACTTTACAAATTATTTTTATGAAACTTTTTTCTCATAAGTTTTCACTCATTAACAGATTCCCAAACATCTGCGGCTCAAATGGCAGATGCATCACAGATCTTTATAAAGAGGGCCTCTTCTTCTGTTCCTGCAACAATAACTACTACGGTGAGTTCTGTGAATATAACCCTAACGTACCAGCAGTGGCTGTCGACGCCACTACCACCACAAGTCCACCCACCAGTTCAACGACTCTCTCAGTGGTTGAAAATCCAATTAATCCAAATGTTCAAGGGGGTATTTAAATTTTCACCAAATTCGTTCAATAAAGTCAATAAAGTTTAAAAATTTAACATGTTTAATTAAAAAACATTTGTCGATTGTTATTTAATAAGAAATTATAATTTGCAAATAGCATCAGGCGGTGAGACGCAGGCCTCGAACCTCGTGGTGAAGGTTGTACCGGCGGTTATCTGCTCTTTTTTTCTTCTGATACTCGTCATCGTAGTCCTACTTTACAAATTCTGGTACGTTAAGAAACGAAAGAACTCAAATTGGGACACGGGTTTGAAAGCACCAGTGCACGAGCCAACCTTTGCTGCATCCAATCCTCTGGCCGATGGACCGGCTGGTTCGTACGGTGGCAACGAGTACACCTACTCCCCTGTTGATCGTAAGAATTCTTTTTACGAAATGAGCTCCAAAACTTCAAACACGTTTGATCGTAGGCTGTTCAACAGGGCTAGCAAGATATATGATGCCGAAACCATTAAGGAGGGTAATATGATGAGTGGGTGAGTCAGCTTTATAACATATTTTAAGTTCGATCTTTAATTTACAGGAGTTTAATATAATATTGGTTTTGAAACTTATAATTTGAAACCTCTTTTATTGTTTATTATTTTAATGGATTTAAAGTTGTGATTTCAAGTTAGAATTATTTGAACAATGATATACTATGCTTTAACAAGATCTCCCAGAGCACCCAGTGACATAAACTTGGACGATGACAACCAAGTCGAGTTGATCTTTCCGCCATCAACTGTACGTGCATCTGAAGATTTGAGTGATTGGAAAACATTTCTAAATGGTTTAATTTCAAACTCAACTTTTGTAAACAACGCCTTAGTGGCTAATATACATAAAAATCGGTTTGTAGCGACAGATGAATGGGCGGATTTGAATTGGGATGAAATTTTATTCGTGGATACGGTGATAGGAGATAAATGTAAAGTTGAATTGAAGGGCGAGGAATATTTTCTTGGAGGAGAGCCTAAAAATCGAACAGTAGTCGGAAGAAATTTAGATTTACAGAATAACGACAACAAATATGAAATGGACAAGTTGCAAAATGAAAATATGTTTTTAATTCTTGGGAGGTCAAATAATTTTCTTCTTATTCTATCCGCGAATGACGAGGTGAAAGGGAATAATTTGGTCCAAAGTTTGACTAGGCATATCATGAAACAGGGACATTGAAAAAATTCTGAGTTCTCAAACGAAGTTGAATTTATTCAAGTGTTCATTCTATTAACAGTTAAAACGTGTGTGGTTATTGATGTTTTAATGTTTTAATTCAACTTTAAATATAAAAGGACAAATACCTTAATGAAAACTAAAAATTTATTTAAGTTAAGTTTTTTAACTTCATCATATGTCATGTAAAAGTATAACGTAAAAATCATAACATTGGTAACGTTGGAACATTATTAAGATTAAATTGTTTTTAAACATTTTTTCAATTAAATTTTTATTAAATTATCAATTTTTTGTAGTTCAGATATTATGTTTCGATAAATAAATTATTAATAAACTTTGTTAGTGATACTGAAACTGACAACAATCAAAATTGCTAGCCCAAAATATATATAGTATTGTAGATATTGTCCGAGAAACACTCAAATGTAGCAGCAAATAAATCGTTTTTAAATTAATTATAGTTTGAACATAACAGAAAACATTTGACACGGTAAAACACGAAGACAAAAATATGCATACGTGCACTCAAGAACAAATATATCAAATTTACCAACAAGTTGTATACGAAACAAATCATTTCTAAACACAATTTTAAAACGAATGGCTCAGAAGGGAAAACATGGAGATGAGTTTTTGAGACGGAACCGTTGCTGACACTCTTAGAACCCCTCAGATTTGATGTGATTTGCGATGAACTTTATTTCTTCTCTACACTCATTGCCATCCACATCTGGTCCAATTGTGACCATGCCAACTATCAGGTATCTCTTAGTTTTGCTCACCGCCATGAATTTTTGTTTGGCGTCAAAATCAGCAGGAATGCACCACCCACACGTCAGTCCGTCCGACATTGTTTCCAGCTTGAATTCACATCCTTGCACGGTTATCTTGCTGTTGTCCGAATTGTACTGCGCATCAAGGGTGTACACCTCTCCCCAATCCATCATCCAATCAGTCGTTGGCATGTGTTCCCTGGTCTGCAAGTTGGCCATCAAGCCCTTGTTTATGACTCTTTTTTCTACCAAGTTCTCCAAATATTTATTCCAACTTTCCATGACTGGGCGGTTGTCGTGAATTACCTGGAGAAGAAAAGCGAGTTTGATAAATTAAAAAAATGTTTTTGTTTTTGTTTTACGTTAGTTGTTTCATCTGAATATTTGTTGTAATTATCAATCGTTATGTAACCGTGCGAATATTTAAAATAGTTTGTTTAAAATTTTAAAAATTTTAAATTCAAATTAAAAAAATAGGATTACCTCATTCTCTAGTACTGTTTCTTCTTGACTGACAATTTGTGGGTCTATAGAAGTCATATTGCCAGACATTCTTGACGGTACGGTAGGCATTCTGTGACAAAAAAATTTATTTAGTAGAATATTTTCAATTTAAACATTTTTCTTGAAAATCTTCAAACAATAAACGTTTGTAGAAAAACAATTTTTAAAACAATTAAGTCAAAGAGAACTTCATCAGCCTAGAAAATTAGAATATAATGTCTAACCCTCTGAGTGTTTTATTATTCCAGAGCTTGCTAAGTCTCATAGTCAAGTTGTTCTTTCCTTTATTTTTAACAGACCATTTGGACACGGAACCATGATTATCCGTCGAAGTTCCAATCTCCATACCGACCACATTCCGTTTTTTAAGAAGTTGTCGGCGTTTGACGGCCACGATGATGCAGATGAGGATGGCTACAATTATGGCAATGAAGATGATTCCGGCTACAACGCTACCTCCAATTATAGCTGCTGTCCTGTTGATTGGAGACATGACTTCTACAGGCACGGTTACTTTAACTGTTAAATATTTATTTTGGTGAGAAAAAATTATAGTCAAGACTTAAAAATATTTCAAACGTGTTAACATCAAAAAATATTTAAAATTGAAATGAAGCATCACCTGTAATATTGCCAACTGTAACTACAATTTTATCCAGACAGAAGTCTCCGTAGTAGCCAGTAGAGCAGTTGCAAGTAAATGATTTTTCATTGTTATTTTCACAAAACCCATTTTTGGAACATAGGTTTGGAAATCTGAATAAATATTTAAATTTTATTTTCATCTTTTTTTCAATTCAAAGTAAAACATTCCATAGCTAAATTAACGGACCTGCAACTGTCAAATCTCTTTTGGCAAAAAGCACCGTAGTGTCCTATATCACATATGCACGAAAACCCGGTGTTATCTTGGCTGACCACACAAATTCCATTTTCACAATATCTTCCCATATCAGCATTTTCACATGTTGAAAGAGGTTGACATTCATAATGTAACTGGTTATTTTTGAATGCACTGTAGCACAAACGCCCATTTCCACATTCATTTTGATTGCTACACTGTCCTCCATAAATTGATTCATCTAAAAACGATTACGTTCAAGTTCAAGTCATCTAGGAGCCATATTTATAAACAAATACTTCATATAGTATAGATGGGGTGAAAAAAAAATTAATTTTATCGACGGTTAGCTTTCTTTACAATTGAAACTAACAATCACAGATTTATAATAATAAATATTTTCGAATATTACTCACTCATGCAATACACTAAATTTGAATCCCCGATCACTTCAATGTAGCCAGGCAAGCAGTTTCTCTTAACAGATCCGTAGTGAACATCGCAGTAGCACTGGCTGTTCGGTTTCTGTTTCACAATATCCAAATTGTTACATACATCGTCACTCACACTTGTAGAAAGAGGTGCAGTACCTGAACCTTTTGAATTAATACAACACATTTCAATTTGAAAATTTGTGAGTTTGAGTTTCAGTTTATGTAACTGAAAACTTTAAAAAATGTAAAACATTAATATAGGTTTTCATTAATTAAAAACATCTGATCAAATATTCTTCATAAAAACCAGAAAAAATGCTGATTTTTGTTTGATAATTAGATTGTCAAAAAAATTGTGAGTTCAAATCACAAGAAACAACCAGTAAAGAATTTGAAATTTATAAAATCATTAAACTGATAGAAAAATCATACCATTTATTACGTTTGTTGGATATTGGTTGAGAAGGTTATCCCATGTGGCAATGAAATCACTGTAGCTAGATCTAGTCGGCAATACTATTTTATAATATAGTATTATTTAAATTTATTTCATACATAATTTTTTATTAGTTTGAAAATTTATATATTATATTGCAAATATGTTAGAAATACAAACCGATGGGTGAAAATTATTTGTCGTCTTTAAGAATTTTTATTTCAATTGTTTTATTTAAAACAGAGGGAAAAACTAGCAACATTTAAACGATTATATCTGTCTACCTAAGTGAAATGAAATTTAACCGAACTGTAATCCAATCTTGAAGCATCCATGAAAGCTCCGTACTTAACTACGTATCGGACGATGGACCCGTCCATTTGAATTGGAAACGTTTTGCATACTCCGTTGATATTTGCATTGGTTAGGAAGATAATTATCTAAGAGGTTTATTTATAAATTAATGACTATTTTTAATTTTGTATAAATTAATTTTTTACTAATTGAAAAGAAGATGTTGATGATGTTTATAAGAATTTAATTACAATTTAGTTAAAATTTAGAACCTTCTTTGCGCTAGATCTTCCACTATTAAGAATTGATTTCGCATTTTCTATGGAGTCATACAGGCCGCAGTCCAACTCCTCATCACTCATATCGAAGAACACGGCGTCCATTGGGAAAGTACTTTTGGAAAAAGTATTTCACTTTCGTTAGTTTATATTTGTAACAGCGTATAATGCTTGAACAAATTGTTTACTCTTTGTGATAATCCATTTATAAAATTTCTATTATTTTTAAATATTACGATCCAAAACGTATTTGATTCATACAATGATTTAAAAAAAATGTCCAAACAAATCAATTCTCCGATCGTCCATATGCGAACGGAGAAAAACTAAAAATAAAACAACTTTTACATGATCATAAAATAACAAATAAAACTTCACCCATTGCTATCAGGAACAGGTGGGAACATGGCGCATTTGTCCATCGCTTTGCTGCGGTCAGTTATGCCGTTATAAACAACAGTTGAATTGAAGGCGTACGTTATGAAGGCCACTCTGGTGAAACTTGGATGCACCGTTGCGTACTGCCTCAATAGTCTGAAGGCTACCGGGCGACCTGAAAGTTTTTTTTTTCAAAATCAAATTAACATTCTGCCTGAAACAGCATAACACAGACTCAGGGGCAGATGTAGAGAACTTTGACGGCGAGTGGGCCAAACTTTTGAAATTTGACGTAGAGTAAGAAACAAACCAAATTTGTACTAGATGGGAAGCTAGTGACTTTTTTTGCCTGTCGCGTCAATTTTTAGTCGACTTCTGAGTAAAAAAAACTGAGTTTTACCGATTTTCAATAGAAATACTGTTCTCAACGTGGGGGGCATGGCTCACTGCACATGCTTGAGTTCTTATTTGATCGCTGAAACAAAATCGTGCCGAAATTTTTGCATATGCGTCTGTGTCTAATGAATGCCTTTCACAAAACAACGTCATTGAGTGATTTATATTTAAATTAAAATTTTTTAGAAAATTAGCCTAGTTAGTTTCTCATCGCGATAGCTATTTGTTGATAACAGTGCTATTAATATAAATGTTCATGTCGTCGGCTTGAATTCAAATGGTACTCTGTTTATCTCAAAAACATTATATCAGAAGCAATATTTACAAAACTATAAATTTATCCATTTTCATTATATTTAATAAAAATTTCAACAAAATAATAAAATAAACCACAAATGAAAAAGTCACTTACCATGCTCATAGAAAACTCTCTTTCCGATAGACCTAGCTCTCGACATAACGAGAACGACATCAACTTCTTTGAGAGGTCCGAGATCACCAATGATTGAATTAATCGAAGAATTTGTAGATGAAGATCTAGTCGTAGTTGTGGTTGTAGTAGAAGTAGTTGTGGTAGGCGTAGTTGTGGTAGAAGTGGTTATGGTAGTTGTGGTTGTCGTTGGTAGTGTCGACGTTTCAGATGAATCGGGGGTATCGACTGAAGTTGTCACGTCAATATTTTGACGTTTAAACCGCCGTGCTGACACAGTGCTGGTCCATGATGCGAAGAAGAAGAAGATGATGGTGTTGATGATGAAGGCTTTAGGAAGTGTTGCAATAAATTTCATTGTGATTTTTTTCTCACTTTTCTCAATCTTTTGACGTTGTTCAAAATTTTCAAGGTTAAATTTAAAGTAAGAAGAGTATAAATTATTAAAATACTTTGGTTAATATTGCAGAAATTGTTTTGTGAAAATACAAATTGTTTTTATTAGTTTTCGTTTTTCTAGACAATTCATCAACAATTTTTTTTAAACTCAATGTGACTGTATAATCCGATACTGAAAATTTTCTTATTTTATAGCAAATTTTTTCAATCCTTCTTAAACTTTAAATAATTGTTTTACTTTTTTCAACTTTTATTCTTGAAAAATAAATTTTTAAATTAAACCTTCCGCTTTTTAAAATGTATCTATAACAGCCTTAAAGCTTCTTATATGCATTTACTTATATAAGTCAATTTTATTCTTGCATTTATAATGTCACTTGGTAACAGTATACATATTTGTATAAAAGTGATACATATAATATATAAATGTGTGTGCGTGTGTATATGTGTGTATGTATGTGCGTGTGTATATGCGTGTGCGTGCGTGTGTGTGTGTACAAGGCGAATGAGTAATCATGAGCAGATTTTATTTTAATGAATGATTGAACGAATGAAAGATTGAACGAACGAACAAACGAACCAATGAATGAATTAACAAATAAATGAATAATTGAAAGGATGAACGAAGGAATGAAGAATAGAACGAATTAATTAAAATTTGATCACGATCTGACAGCATTATATTCCATGCGTAGCTAAACAATACACCTAAGAGAAAGCTTAACAATTACAAGCGTTCCAGAGCCTACTAACGATTATTCAAAAACTCTGATGTTGGTGGCTATAATAATAAAAACAACAACAATAATAATAACATCGGAAATAATCATATTGATAATGTTGATATTAATGGATTAAATGCTAACAGCGATGCTACTAATACTGCTACTACTTCTGCTGCTATTACTACTACTACTACTACTACTACTACTACTACTACTACTACTCTTCTTCTGCTACTACTACTACTACTCTTCTTCTTCTTCTACTACTCCTACTACTACTACTACTACTATTACTATCTACAACTACTACTACTACTACTTTTTTTCTACTACCTACTACTACCTACTACTACTATTACTACTACTACTACTACTACTAATACTCTACTACTACCTACTACTATTACTGCCACAGCTGCTGCGGGTTCTTCTACTACTACTACTATTACTATTACTATCACTTACTACTACTATTATTACTACTATTAGTAATAGTAGTAATAATAAAAATATTGATGATGATGATGATGATGATGATATTTAAAATATTCATGATGATTTTAACGGCACTAATAAAATGTTGACCTCGCAGTGATGGTGACGACGATGACGAAGATGACATATATATCTTGATCTTGACGAAGATGATATCTATCTTGATCTTGACGAAGATGATATCTATCTTGATCTTGACGAAGATGATATCTATCTTGATCTTGACGTTGATGATACCCCTATATATCTTGATCTTGACAAAGACGATATCTATCTTGACGATATCCTAATAGTAAATGACGAATGAAATGATGCTGACGTGATTGTGGTAATCATCAGAGCAAAATACCAACTATGATTGTTGACGATGGTAGGGATGACGACAACCACCATGAGACTGGCGTTGAAGACAACAAAAACGTCACTGCACGAGATAATGACATCAGATTAATTATAACTCCAAATTTGTAGTGTGTTGACGTCATTCATAAAGGAAATATAAGATTTAAAATCAACATCAACATTAATAGCTACACCGAACAATGCCGTATTCCGATTTCTACTGGCAGTTCTCAGAATAATGAGTAATATTTTTTTAATTTATAATCATTTTATGTCGTTTTATTAGTGCACAGTAATACGAAAAAGTCGTTAATTATTTGGCTAGCTGCTAAAGAATGCAGTTAAACTGAGAAGATTCATCACATGATGAACTTGTACAGAAGACATTAGATGATTAAGATGATGATGAGAATGACTATGATGACAATGAAATGAAAGTAACAATGATAATGATTAGTGTAAGTTTGAGATTAAATTCAACGAGTTTTCCATATAAATGTTGATTTGAAACTTTTGCAGACTACATACAAGAGTAAAATTTAAAAAATTGTCATTAACTACACTAGTTTGAAAATGAATATTGACAAACAATAGGTATACAGGCATGAAACTAACAAAAATGTACAACTTTTTCTTCTAAAACCAAGCGTTTTTTCTCAAAATTCTACTCTGTTTACCGTCAATTTCTCGCAACGGCTACAACAAAACTGACGATGAACATGGTAACGGAGAACATTGCGGTTAAAAAATACATCGGTGATGAAATAATCATCAAGAAGAATGCTGATGACGAAACGTATGATGATTTTGGTGTTGGTGTCTTTTGACGGTAACATGTTTGATGATGACGCGCTTTATTTTATGGTGATGATGTTGTTTTGAAGTGAGTAACTAACTCTAATGATGATGATGAAGAGAAGGAGGAAGATGATGACGACGACGATGATGAGAATTATTAATACTATTATTTTTATTGTTATTATTAAAAATATAATTAAAACTATGAGTCAGACGCAAACGAAAACCGATAACGATCATTCGCACAATGATCCTAAACAATGACAATCTTAAGCAAAATTGCTGGGTCTGATTTTAAATAACAATAAAAATAATGTCGTTTTATATAGCACCATGGCAAGCGGCTGAGGCGCATTATCATTATTACAACAAACACACGGTGCATAAATACACGTGAATCAACACATCACACACTTTTGCATGTGATAGGTGGGGATGTTTTTGCATTCGAACCCGGACACTGCATCAACAAAGCCAGGCACCTTAGCCATTACACCATCGCGCCGCAAATTGCTGTCGTAATGTCTCAACTCAATCTCAACGAAACACTGCTGTCGCTGCTGGTTACTGTTGTTTGAAACTTACTTTAAAAAATGTTTCTTGCATATTTTTGTTTGATTTTATCTGATATATTTTCTATTAAAGTTGAAATTCTTTTATAAACTGAATAATTAATTATAACACGATGTCAGAAATCAAAGTTTTTGGTTTAGAACAATGGAAACATATTGACTCACGGGTAAATCGAATTAAAAATTTCAAGCAATCCATTACGAACTTTTGTTTGAAACTTTTAAAAACTTGTTTCAAAAAGCGTAAAAAATTTTTCTACGTAGAATTCAAGAGGGAGAGCAGTTTAAAATAATTTTATAGACAATTGTTTGCTAATCACATGCCCGTCAGTGCATTATTAATGGAACGCGTCTCATATGAATAAATAGAAATATTAATTAATAAATATTTGTGCGGCATTATTGTATTGAATGGTGTACAATTTTTTTTTATCGGTACCAACAACAAACACATAACGCATATCAATACACCTGAGTCCAACGCATGTGGTAAGTATTCTACACCATTAACTAAAACACCCTGACAGTTCAGCTATCATATTTTCAAACCAGGTTTACAAAAGGTTGTAAGACGATGTCTAGACTCTCTCTAGACAGTGTTTGAATGTGTTTGTGAAAGTATGTATGTGTATTGTGTGTAATGTGTGAACGTTTTTAGTGTGGTGTGTGTGTATGTTTGTAGCGTTTGTGTTTATGAAAGTTTGTATGTGTCCGGTGTGTGTGTGTGTGTGTGTGTGTGTGTGAATGTGTATATATGTGTATGTCTGTGTGCGGTGTTTGTGTGTATGTATGAACGTTTGTGTGTTGTGTGTGAGTGTGTGTTAATCATTAAATTCTTTGGTATGTTGGCATTGACCAGTTTGGGATTAATATTACGAAATGTGTGTTCTATCTGTGTTAAACCAAATTCTTGGTAATCCCCCAGCAAACAACTGCATGCTAACATGAATATTGAATATACAGGATTGATACATACAATAGATACAATAGACACACACACATTTATTTACGTATTATAGTATCCAAATTGTTATGATTTTTTTTATTTTACAAATATCTTGTATAGATAATAGCAGGTATTAATGAATGCCCTCTTGTGCGAAGCTTTGCAACTCAATTGACGAATCAGAATGAAATTGTTTTTATACAAAGGCTCGCTTATAAATGAAAAGTTTATGTTCTACAAAATTATAGCTGGATATTGGGTTAGAGTTAGGGTACGAAAATTTGAGGTAGAGTAAAAATTTATATTTATTAGGTAGCATTCTATCTTTTAATTCGTGATTTAGTTTTAGTTCATTCCAACTTTTGCACAGTTTTTTTAAATACAAGTTTATTAATGTGCAAAGCCAAAAAAAATCACAAATCAACATCAAAGAGATAATTGAAAGTACAAAACGCACTGGAATTTGAAATCTTTATTTTCTCTTTAACCCTCATTAAAAAAAAATTTGAAGATACATTTCTTCCTTGTTATGTTATGTTATAATACGCTACGTTATGGTGTTAAGTTATAATAGACTGGTTATACAAATTCAGTTTCGATCGTGTGTGAACCTGTGCGCGTGTGTATGTGTGTGTATTTATATGCTTGGTTAGATCCTTTGAATATTAACTTTGTTCATAAAATAACACTGGTTGTATACAATGGCAATACATTGATATGTGAATAATTGAAAAATAAAAAATTTTTGATATTGTATCATTTGCTTATGTAGATGATGATTGCTTTAATCTCTCTCTCTCTCTCTCACTTTTTTTTCTCTCTCTCTTTTTCTCACTATCTCTCTTACTTTTTTTATTCTTTATTTATGTCGTTGTCGTTATTGTAATATTTGTTACTGCTAATTTAGGAGTTGTAGTACTATGACAATAAGTAGTTTATTTATTAATATATATATATATATATATATATGTGTGTGTGTGTGTGTGTGTGTGTGTGTGTGTTTGTATGTGTTTGTGTGTGTGTGTGTGCGTGCGTGTGTGTTTATTTATGGCACTATATTTAGCATCACTCACGTTGTTTAATTGCTATTTACGGAATTTTCTAAGATATTAAAGCTCCCCCAATAATTTTCAATATTTAAATAAAAAATCTTTAAAATTAAAAATAAAAATATAATTACGATGATGACATTATTATTATTATAAACGAATAAATAATAAAAATAATTCCATTATAATACGAATAATAACAATAATTTGTTCAAAGTATTAAAAGTTCAACCGTATTATGCTTCTATTTGCATTGCATTCAGAATGTTTGGAGCGATCTCTATTGAATTGTTATTGTGTGTTTATGTATGTGTGTGAGAGTGTCTATGTGTATGCATTTGCGTTTAAATGTGCTTTTCTACGTGTGAGTTTTGTGTATGATTTCGTATGTGTGTATGTTTGGGCAAGTATGTGTGTTTTTGTATCTGTGAACAGGTGTGTGAGGGTGAATGTATGTGATGGTACAGTTTTTTTGTATGTGTATTTGCGTACGTGTGTTGTTGTTCGTGGATATTTTTAGTGTATTTGCAAGCGATTATGAAAGAGACAGTGACGACGTGTGAGTGTGTTTATTATTAGCACATTCACGCACGTTCCAGTTTATTTTTGTATCAAGTGGAGGATTTTTCTGCTGCTTTAATGTGGTGTAGGTACACGCATCGCATGAGTTTGTTGTACTTGTTGCCTTCTATGTACCTAGGTCTTGCTTGGGCTTTTGACTATGTGCGCCAGTTTTTGGTTATGATCGTGTGGGAGATGAAGTTGCTAGATCACATAATAGGTTGTTTTTATTACACATTTTGTCTTGATAATTTCGCATTTTTGTTAAAAAATTTGATAGAATCTCTTAAGTTTCTAATTCATAACAAAATAAATATTATGAACACAAAATCGAGAATAATTAATTTAATTAAACTTCATTCATTCACTCATACTTTCGTTCGTTCGTTCGTTCATTCATTCATTTGCAAAACCAAACTATAAAAGCGACATTGGAAGAGTGTATAACTAATTATAAATAAATAAGTATAAAAATATCTGTACCATAGGGGTAACATGGTTTAATTGTATCAAGCTGTTATATTGTCGTTGTATTATAACAACCACTTTTTTTTATGATCATCAATGTATTTTCTGAGAAGTGTGTATGTGTTAGTGTGTAAAGTCTGTGTGTGTGTGTACGTGTGTGATTTCGAAATATTGTATTTGCGTGTGTGTGTGTTTAGTTTAGTGTGTGTGAATGCATGTCTGTGTATATTGTTTTGTTGTGTGTGATTGTATTGTATGCAATAAATGCGTGTGTGGTGGGCGCGTGTGTGTGTGTTTGTTGTCTGTGTGTAATGTGTATTGCTCATTCAATATGTGTGGTGAGCCAAGTTTAAAAAAGAAGATTCTAAATAAAACGTTTATGCCATATGTGTGTGTGATTGTGTGGTGCGTGTGCGCGCATGTTTTAAGGTTTGAGTTTTTGTGTTTTTATTAGGTTGTTTTTCTTGTTCAAAGATGAAACACTCATTAAAGGAGATTACTTTAACTAAAAGTTCTGTCCGATAACGATGTTTATATGTTTATTTTAGAAATATTTTAGTTTCTGACAAAAAAAAGGCAATATGACATATTATACAAATGTTGTTTTGAATCAAAAACAAAGTAATATTGAATAATTAGAAAAGTTTTGAAAATATTTTCATATTTTAAGAATTCATCTACACGATAATCTAATTAATTTGTATCAGATCGTGACAAGAACTTTGAGGCTCTTTGTGTGTTGTACTCATTCTGAATTTGAAGAGTAGGCTTATTGTTTCAAATTTGAAAAAATAATGCAAACTAAATAATTGAATAAGTAAACAAGATCTTTTATTTGCCTGATATAAGTGAGAATCTAATTAAAAAACTTAAAACGAAAGTAAATTTCACACTTTCTTGAATCATATCTGAAAAAAATTTATCTTTTATTCTCAAAAAATATTTCTCCACACATAATTTTAATCGCATGTTATCGACTTACGAGTTTCTTATTAGAGTTTAAAAACAGTGAAACAAGTTTAATTTTATACTACTGCCTTGCATGCTGTAACAGTTTCTGCTTCTGTCAGATCCTGATTTTTAAAGAATAATAATAAAATGTTTAATTGATTTAACTAACATAATTTTTATGTTTGGTATGATAATTTATATAAGTGAGTAAAACTTTGTGGGATGAAATTTATTAAATCATATATACAATGCCGGATTTTGAAGTATCGTAGCCCCCTGGGCGCCTAAAAAGTGAAGACCCCAAATCATTTAGTGAATTCTTCAAATTATAAAATTATACTGCCAATATCTTGCTTGTAAATCAAATTGGTAAAACTTTTTAGTTTTATTTGCCTAATTTGTCAACATTTTGTTTATCCTGACAAGCTCCTGACAAGCTTTTTTCACGAAAAATTACGTTTCACAAAACATATTCTTTCTTGCAGAGGGCCCAACATTTTATAAAGGCCTAAGGGTAATCCCTGCCTTGAATCCCACCCTGAATAGATACAACATGACAAAAAATAATAAATCTGGATAATTTACATTACTTTTTTTCTGTTTAAAAAGATTAGCTATGCAATTAAATTTGAAACATAATGAATGTTTCATTTGAGAACGATCTCATTCGTCATCATGTTGATCCTCTCATTAAATCCCACTGATGATGTCATTTAACGTTTTATTATTATTATTAATATTATTATTAATATTATTATTATTGTTTTTACTATTACTATTTATATTATGCTTGCTTGTTCATACCGACAGCGTGAGTAACATTGTTTACGAGTTGATATTTATTATTTACCTGGATTGCTTCTTACTCACATACATATGTTCACATGTAAAATGTTGTAATTTGTCCAATTTTTCTTTTATTTATCAGTTGCTTTTTGTTGATAGGCTTGGTATCATTTCACAACTTTTCGTTGTTTTTGTTTACTAAATCATTAAATTAATTACCCTCCAACGCAAGTTGGTCATGAAAGATTAAAACATTTCTAAATCACGATTAAAATTAAACCAAGGGGGTGGATCTAGACAACCTTGATAAAGGGCCAGAATATTAAAAATGATTAAATTGTGAAAATATAGCCAAGATACTAACCAAATTTGAATTATTTTTGATAAGGCACGTATAAACATTATTTCACATTTTTCATTTTATTTTTGAAGCATGCGACAAAAAAAATTTAATTGTTAAAAGGTCTGCTCTTACGTACAATAAGTGTTTCATTTTTTTTGAAAATGCACTTGATTTTTTTTTAAATTATTTGCAAAGCCTTAAATCAAAAGCGTTCGATTTAACTAACGACATTGAATTGCACATTGGAATTGAAATATACTATTATTTTTATATATTTACATTTTGATTTAAAGTTCGCTTTTAAACGAAAAACACAAAACTCGTCGGTGAACAATTTGAACGCGATTCAGACTTACTAAGTAGTAATTAGTTTCGCTTGGCTATATTTGTTTCTTTTTTAGAAAAAATAATTAGGCATTTTTGTTAGGGTAATGAATGTTTCGGAGGATGTCCCTGTCGTTGAGGTGAACAACGAAAACTTGAGGCAAATCTGGCCTGGTCTGATGTTGGCCATCAAACATGCCACCTTCATAGCCCTAGACACCGTCGGTTTAATAATTAAATATTTAAAATAATTTAATTATATTTAAATTATTTAATTAATTGTTTTTATTGTTTTGTTATGTTAATAATATAATGTATTGTATTGTATAGAAATGGGATGTTGTAGTTAAAAAGTAGATGTTTAAGTTAGTTGTCTTGTATGTTCCATGTACCTACTCTACAGTCTACACTATTACATTACATTACACTCTACATGATTCTGTTAAATCTTAAAAATTAAACTGCTTTATACTTTATTATTCATCTATCATATACTTTTGCTTCTTTTTAACAAATGCTTCAAAATTTAAGAACTTTTTTTTAAAATTAAATTTCCAATTTTTTATTTTTAGGAATTGAGTGGGTTGGGATCAAAAAAGTTGTTGAATGCCAAGTTAGTTTGTTTCATTTGTTTGTGGTTCATTGAATTATAATATTTTTTTAAAATTAAACAATCATTTATTAATATTTATTCTTCAATAACTATATTTCTTTAGTCTAGTCAATATATATATACCTAATACATTTTCTAAATTTAAAAAATTATTCAAAATCTAGAAACATAGAGGACAGGTACAAATACATTTGTGACTCATCAATGTCCCGATCTATTCTAGCACTTGGAATTTCTTGTTTCAAAGTTAGTGTGGAAGATAGTGAGAAAAATGAAGTTAGGTACACTGTCCAGACATTCAACATCCTCACCATGTGCATGGAAAATTTCATTATTGAACCAATCAGTGTCCAGTTTTTGATTGACCATGGCTTCGATTTTAATAAACAATTTAAACTTGGTTTGCCTTACTACAGAGGAGATGGGGTTTGATTTTTATCTATTTTTTTTGTCATAATTTTCATTATAAAATTATTAAGGTTTTCAATTTTTTTTTCCTGCATTAAGCAAAACAATGTTATTGATTTCTTTCAAGTTTTTTGAGACCTTTAAATAAAATTAACAATTTTTTCATCTGTACTTATTCATGCCCACACACTTACCAGGATTCGAATTCCAAGTCGAAGAACAGTTCAAAATCCACAGGCAACAAATCAAAGTTTCCAGCATCTCAGATGACGATACAGCAGATAATAAATGAGATGATCATAAACAAGTCGAAAATAGTCTTCCACAATGCCTTGATAGACCTGGTATTCATATATGGCAACTTTTTTGGCAAGCTTCCAAATGACTTTGCCACCTTTGTGACTGATCTTGACTTGATCTTCGGTGGTGGACTGTTTGATACAAAGTTTATTGCCGAGTTCAAGAGGAAGTTGAGCATCTCGTTTCTTGAATATGTCTTCAAGAGATGGTTTGTTTCTCATTGTTTTTGTTTTGTCCTGTCATAAAAAAATTTATTAACTGTAAACTTTTCTCCTAAGTAAAAAAGATAACTTCAGAGAGACACAGAACCCAGAAGAGAGTACAAAATGTCTGTCTATCAATTTCCTAAGCTATCCTGAGCTCGTTCATAAAAATGTTGTCTACATTTCGTGTGAGAAGTCCGATGCTAGTCCCGGCGATAAACAAGAAGTCTGTTTTGGATTCAAGGTGCATTCATTTGTTATCTTAAATTATCCACACACACACGCGCGCGCGCGCGCGAACACAAACACACACAAACAAATTTTTTAATTTTTACAAGTTTCAAATGAATAATTACTCAGAAGATACACAATAATTTATTTTTTTTAAGTACAAAATTACCAAAAAATAACATGGTAATTTTTTTCCTTCGCCACTCTTACCACCAGAATCATGGTTGGTGCATCAATGGCAACGACTGCTCAAAGTCGCACTGTGTCGACAGGATACTGGACGAGGAGGACCTGCAGCATCTCAACCCCCATCACCACAACTGCAGCACTTCCAGGAAAAGCAAGAAAAGGAAAAAGTGTAAATCAGTCAGACAAAATGATAATGGTGATTGTCACGATGGTGATGATGGTTCCGGTGTGGGTAAACATAACGGGGCATTGAACTCCTCCAATGGTAATGAGTTGGTGACGAAACTGCTCCATCAGAATTTAGCAGTTATTGAGAGGGCGTCTCCCTCATTATCACCATCATCATCAGCATTACCTCCATCATCATTATCATCATCATTAAGACAGCCATCATCATCAGCACCATCGTCATCAGCACCTTCCCCTGGCGTTCATAGGGCTGGTTTTGACGCTTTCATGACTGGCTACATCTTCGCCACTTTCATAAACGTTGACGCTAACGACAGCAATAACATCAACAGCAGCTGCAATAACAACAGAACAAACGCTGATTGTAACAACAGCAACACTCACGTTAGTGACGTAACAAATGACGTCACCAATAACAATAACAATCATAATGGTCAGTGCTTCCTGAATATCCCCGACGATTATGCCAATAAAATTTATCTGGCCGGTAAAAACTTTGCCCTGCAGATATCAAGGAGTAACTTCACCAAGCCTTCTAAATATAGTCAAGACAAGTTGGCTGAGTTAAACGGGATTGTGTAATTATATATTTTTGTGTTTGTGTGTGTGCGTGTTTGTAAGTCTTCACCACAATAGGTGATTGTGTGTTTGTATGTTCCGTATTATTCAACAAAATGATGGCTGTGATTTTGACGGATATGACGTTGATATGATGAGTGATAACGCTTAACTTAATGATTAACTAATTAATGATGATGACGTTGTTGGTGGTTGTGGGGATGTTGATGGCGATGGCAATGATGATGTTTAATAAAATCCAAGAAACTGCGTTTTGTTCTTTCAAGAAATGTATCACTAATTTTTAAGTTCAATGTTTATGTCCTTTTTCAAAAAAAAAATTTCATTTTAACGAATTTTTGTGTAATAAATAATTTTAAAATATAAACTACTAAAAATATGTGCGAACGTTGACTTTTTGCTGAAAAATAATGACTTCACGAGCTAAAGCAGGCGTTTTTGTGTTTGTTATCGTTGCTGGCATGTAAGCTTATAAGTATAAATACTGGATACTATTCACTATGCGTGGATGTTTTTTATCATAAAAGTGAAAAACCTTTCAAAGGATGCAAGATAAATTATCGAATGTTGTTGTTTATAAGAAAAGACTAAATTGATGGCAATGTTTTTTGTGGAAATTTGTTTTCGTATTAAGTGGCGTGTGTGTTTGTGTGTGTGTCTGTGTACAATACGTGTATATATATATATACTGGCTGTATGTTCCAACATAAATGTATACGAAATATTTTTGTGTGTGTGGATTTTATAATTTTACAAGGCATATTTTATATTGTATGTGTGTGTGTGTGTGTGGCTTTTAAGTGTGTTTCTGCTTGTATATGTACTGTATGTTTCCATTTGAGGTTTATGTGTTTGTATTTTTTATATGTGCAATGTCTTAATGTGGCGTGTATAGATGTTTGTGTGTGTGTGTGAGTGTGCTCGGATGCTTATTTCCAGTTGGATGGCTAGCAAAAACGGAATGAATGAGTTTGCAGTGATAGTTACGCCTCTTCAATTTCATCAATCAAGCGAGAACTTGTGTTGACAAGTTTTGCAATTGGACTGATTTCATAAAAACACACAGACACACAAACACGCACATGTGAAAAAAACGCGATTACGCACACGCGCGCACACACGTACGTCATTAGGAAATTTCATGTTCATATAATTTATTTCATATTTTTCTTTTACCTTTTTCTTTTCCTCCATCTTTTTTTTATTGTTCTTCTAGTAAACGTTCTCATGCTGTTGTGCGTGTGCGTGTATCTGTGCACGTGCATGTGATGCTGATGCGTTTTGTTATTTTCATACTTGCTACTGTCATGCCATTTATTTGTAGACTGTCACGTCGGGTTGTTTGATTGAAGAAATGAAAATTTTTTTAATAGCAACGCTTGTTAACTGTAAAGGCGTGTTCAGTTGTGAATGTATGTAGGCGTGTGGTGTGCGTGCGTGTGTGCGTGTTTGCATTTTTAAATACAGTTTTGAATTGTTTTTGTTTGTTTGTTTGCCCATTTGTTTTCTCTTGGAAATTTTTTTATGTTTGTTCTTTTCAAAATATCGTTTTTGGTTTCAGTACTTGCCGTCTGGTGAGTACTTGAAATTTTTGAGCGTATTAAGAGTTTCGAGTGCTTTTTAGCACATGTTTCCAATGAACAACAAATATTTTGCCTTCCTTTTTCAGTTTAGTTTTCAATAGGTTGGTACGTTTTAATGCTATACATATTTCATTTTAGCACATACACTCGTTCGTACACGAAAGAAAATTTGATGGCCTTCCATACTCACGTATCTATGACATGCATCACTCAGTTCGGCTTTCCACACATTTTTAGCTCCAGTCCATCCATTTGACTAAGTTCAAATTTCTTACCTTAATGCATCATGCAATCTGTCATACTTTCACGTTTTTGTGTATTTGCATATCTGTGTGCGTGTGCATGCGTGCGTGTATGTGACGAAATTCACACGTAAAAGCAGAAACTCACGCACACTCATTCACATCACTCACACGCTCTAATATTTAAGAAAGTTAGAGAGAGAGAGAAAGAGAAAGAGAGAAATGAGAAGGATAAACTGAAAGAGAAAAAGAGAAAGGCAGAAGGAAAGAGAGAGTGAGAGATTTACGTACGAAGAATGTTGTTTGTGCGTATGTAGGTGCGTATGTAGGTGCGTATGTAGGTGCGTATGTAGAATCTGGAACGCTGCATCATTTATTGCCCTGTTTGTTTATCACAAGCAACATTATTAATAACGATGTTCTTACCATTATTCTTCTCTCTATATTTTTATTTTTAATTTTGTTTTTATCCTTATTATTATTTATAACTAATGCCAGCTTTATAACTTTTAAATTTATTCATTGTTTGGCGATCTATCGTTTAAATATAAATTTATATGCCTAAATATGCCCACACGTACACATCCTGTAATCTAAATGGAGTAATTTATTTTATTTTTTTTAAATAGGAAAGAAATTAAATGACTTTTAAATTGTTTTTTTTTCTGAAATCTACTTAAATATTATTTCCCTCTCTTGATGAATGAATAAGGAAGAAAAAACTTCTGAAAGCTGTTTAGCGAGCCCGTTGATGAATTCGAAAACGCATCGCGGGTACTATAAAACATTCTTCAGAAGAATAAATTTAAATTTGTTAAATTAACTTCCTTCTAAATTTTGAAATTCTGTTTGAAATAAACGAAAAAAAAATTCGGTGAACTTCTGAAAAGATGCAGAAAAATAAGAAAAATTAAGGACAATTCAAATAAATACAATACAATGCAATACAATACAATTGTATTTAATACAATAGTATCAGCACTCATAATATACAATACAAAAAATGAATGCTTAAACAAATTTTGGCTCTAATTTTATTTCATAATTCTACTTCTAACTCCTCTGCCCTTACTTTTGGAGTACCTCAGGGTTCTATCCTTGGTTCTCTTCTATTTATACTCTATACTTCTGAATTACCTCTTATTAATAATAATTTTTCTTTCACTAGTCATCTACATGCTGTTGATTCTTTTATTTATATTTATATTCCTTTTCCTCCATCTAATTTCAATAGTATTCTTCATAATCTATCTCTATGTCTTTCTTCAATTGTCGCTTGGTCTGACTCTATATCTCTTAAGCTTTATCCTTCTAATTTTGAATTAATGTGTTCTAACAGATCTAAACACTCTATTACTATTCCTTCTATTCTCTCTAACCTGACAGAGAACTTACACGTAACTAACTGTAAACTTTGTACAATCTAGGATCAGAAAAAATTAAAAATTTGTAAAAAATTAAAAAAAATCGAAGAAAATAGATGAATTATTAGAAAAAATTTAAATAATCTTTAAAAATTCTAAAAATTAAACAAAGTATTACATTAAAAAAGTCAAAACACGACACAAGAAAGCTGAAACATTCAGAGGAAAGACGTTTACTGAAGAGAGAAACCGGCTAGATAGACCGCGAAAATGTCATCAATTTTATTTTTTTATAACACATCTAACTCTTTTTTTCATAATTTTTTCAATTTTTTTATGTTGCTTCAGCCTTCAGAATGATATTTGAATAATTTGTCGCTTGGGGTGATTGATATTCTAGTTGAGAACATTTAAACGGCCATTAAACATTTGTTTCAGATATTGTTTTCTAAACTTGGTAAGAAGTTTGCGGAAACAATTTAATCGTCATCGGTGGATTTTGTTTATGACCATAATCATTTTAACAGCGTTTCCGTTATCTTTATTTGACGCTTTATTGTTGATTATTTTGATTATTTTTTACTCATCCTCAAAATCATCACCACCAATTCCATCATCATATCTGTCATCATCATCGTCATCATCATCTCTGTCATAATCATCATCAACATCGTCATCATCATCGTCATCTTTTTCATCTTCTTCATCATCAAATCATCAGCATTGTCATTATCGTTGTCGTCATCATCTTCATTGTCATCGTCATCATCGTCGTCATCATCGTCAACGTCATCATCATCATCATTATCATCGTCATGATCATCATCGTCGTCATCCTCCTCATCATCATCTTTCCTACAGCAAGCAATAACTCAAAGGTTGAATGCAAGGAACAATATGCGAATGATGTGTTCTGAATATAAAATATGTATAAAAAATTGACGATTGTCATCAGGACGAAGACAGCGGTGATGATGATGATAATGATGATGATGATTATTTCTTTAAAAAGTTGAGTTTATTTTATTTTGATAAATAAATTATTTCTAATGTAAACAAATATCTCAATAACATGAGAAACAAAAACTTTGCTATTAAAACCCAATAAAAAAAAGCCAAAATGGAAAAAAAAACTAAACTACAATTTGATCATCTCAGCCCAATTAATTTAATTCATTTCAGTTGGCCACTCCTGAATGAATGTACGTACGTAAGGAGCACCAGGATAGCAAGGGTATAAAAGCGCTCAATTATTTTAACGCTAAGAAGATTTAGCGCCCTGCAAAATGTCCTTCACTACAATCGATAAAATAAATTATTTCGCTTTTTCTATCTCTTTTATGGGTTTTTTCTTCTTTTTCTCTCTCTCTCTCTCTTTTAATCTTTCTCTCTCTCAATTTCTCTCTCTTTCTTCCCACCCAATTTCTCTATTTTGCTTTTCCGCATCTAACCATGTTTGTCAGACGTGTAGGAATATCATGAAAATAAAAGAGATAGAAAGATGAAAAAGAAATAAAGAAATAATAGAGATAAAAAAACGAAAGAGAGAGAGAGAGGGACAGAGAGGAAAGGAGAGAGAAAGAGGGAGAGAGAGAAAAAGAGATAAAAATGACAGAAAAATAATCACTTCAATTAATATTTATGATTTACACAATTCGTCATCCAGGACATTAATAAAAAATGTAGACTAAGAAATGAATGGAGAGAAAAACAAATTGATTTTGTACACGCGCTGTTTACACATACAATACAAATACAACCGCATGCAAACCACTCCTTCGTAAACACGGATGCATACAAAAAACATACACACAGATAAACAAATTTAAAAAATCACATAATAAACACATAACACACACTCCAGACTCATGCACACATATAAAAACACGCACGCATACGAGTAAAGACAAACCAATAACAGACACAATATAAATACCAACCAGAGAAAGCCAACCAGAAAGAGAGAGAGAGAAATAGGGAAGAGAAAAGAAATGACAAAGTGAGATAAAATAGAATGAAAGAGACAAACAACAAACAAACAGACGAAAACAAGGAAAAAGCTGGATAAAACACACCCATTTATCATTGCGTTCATCAAAAAATATCTATCTATGGTCTATTTATATTACAGTAAGAGAATGGCGTGATGATGATGATGATGACGGAGATGATGATGATAACCAAAAAGATAATGGTGATGAGGATGACCAAAAGAATGATGATGGTGAAATAATAATGTTGATGATGACCATACCGCATACTTTTGAATAAGCATCATTATGTTTATGTGTGTGTCTCTGTGTGTGTGTGTCTGTGTGTGTGTGTGTGTGTGTGTGTGTGTGTGTGTGTGTGTCTGTGTGTATGTTTGCAGGTTCGTGTGTATGTACGTACAATTTATAATTTAAATAAATTTTTCTATCATTATTTTGATTTATTTCAAATGGCTGTAGGTGTTGAAATGTGTATTAATAGATTTTATTAATTGCATTGTTTGCAAGTACACACACACACACTTATATGAAATAATATACATGTTTCCTTTCTGTATATTTATACATATACATAAATGTGTATTTATACATTTAATTTGGAGTTCAAGTGCACGTCTTTCTGTGTGTATGTATCCGTGTTTGTCTCTGTTCGTATCTATTTGTATTCGTGTTTGTTTGTGTGTGTGTGTGTGGGTTTGTGTGTTTGTGTATGTGTCTATATGTGGTGTGTGTAGATGTATCATCTGAGCTATCTGATAAATGCCATCCATCTTTTAATAAGTGTCACTCCTACAATGGATTTTTTTCACATGTTTCAACGAGTTATTACTGTTGTTTTTTGTTGTGGTTGTGGATGTCGATGTTGATTCGTTGTTTGAACTTTGTTTGGTGGTGGTTGTTGTTGTTTTGTTGTTCGTGATGTTGTTTCGCGCACACCTACACTCGCGATTAATTGTTTTGTGGTTCCATTTTTTTTTTTTTTTTTTTTGAGAAAACAGAGTTGTGATGGGTTGAAAAAGTGATTTTTTCCAACAAGCAATTGAAATTTATTTGAAAATAAATTCGTTAATGTTGCTTGATATTTTATAAAAATGATATACTGAAAAATTTGATTGGATAAAGATAAAAGTGAAGTCTGTGTTTAAAAAAAAATATAATCAGATTTATGATTTTTATCTAGGTCTTCAACGTTATTACCATATTCAAAATCATCTGATTTGAAAAAAATTTTTTAATCATTTCATTCGAACCATCATCACCGTCTTTATTTCATTCATTCTAATTAACGAATTATCATTATCATCATCATGGTTATCGTCGTCGTCATCATCATCATCAATATCGTCATCATCAACATCGTCATCACATGATTGTCTTACCAACTATGTTTTTGGCGCTGACGCTACACCTATATTTCATAAATTATTAACATCATCATCCTTTAAGTCAATGAATTCAAAATCGTTTTTATCACTGTCACACCATCACAGATTGCCTAGTTTATGAATTAATAAATTAATTAACCAATTAATTAATTAAATAACCAATTAATTAATTAATTATTTACTCGGCTCTTCTTGGTCTTTACTTTTAATTTCTGAATGTCCGCTCGGAATGCCTGGAACAAGTTTCAAGTTTTTATTAGTATTAGTATTTTTTTTTCACCATCAACACCATCATCGTCATCATCATTTTCGTCGTCATCATTATCATATCCTACGACATCTCTATCGTTATCGTCAATATTTGTTGTCGTTGGTATCATGATAATGTTGATATCATCACCATCATTCAACTTCATCATCGAGTTTATAATGTTCTCGCCCCCTCATTATCATGTTATCAATATCATTTCATCATATTTACTTTGAGAGCCTGTAGAACTGGTTTCTAAATAAAAAATAATTTTAGCAATTCAAATTTTATTCGTTAATATTTATTTCACATATGTTATGTTATGTTCATTCATTCATTCGTTCGCTCGTTCATTCATTCGTTCGTTTGTTCATTCATTCATTCATCATCCATCTATTCATAGATTTATTCATTCATTCGTTTGTTCGTTCGCTCATTCATTAGTTCATTCATTAGGTCATTCATCCTTTCATTTCTTTGTAAATTTGTTTGTCATTTCAATCACTCATTCATTCATAATTATTTCCACTTTTTCATTCACTCATTTATTCAGGTTATTCATTTTTTTTAGTTATATTTAATGTCTGTGACTATTTTTTAACCCGACGGATTATTGTTCTCCTTTTTTTTGACTGAAAACGAGAAAAAAAAACATTCAAAACTCTTACGGCGTTATCGCTGCAACATCACATGATCATTACACAATTTTATTATCATTACTCCGTCATCATCCTATCATAAACACATCAGCATTTTATCATCGTCGTTACGCTATCAAGCCTTCATCTTTATGTCGCTGTTTCCTTACCATCTAGTCATAGTTTTATCACTTCTCAATCATTATTTCCATACCATCTAAGCATCAAATCATCATTTTATTATTTTTTAATCACTATCTAACCACCAGAGTATCACCAGATTGCCATTGTATCATGTCCTTATCTCTATTTCATCACCATCATACATCCTCGCAACACTATTTCATCATTCTTCCTCATGACCAGCATCCAATCAGCAGCAGCAGCAGCATCTCACCTAATAACATTATGAAAACGCAAACGAGAAGTATGACGATTGGTATTGTTAACGCCAAAATGATGGTTGTTGTATCAGATATACCTGAAATGGATTTAAGACCATTTTTATTTTTTATTTCTTTTTGTTTAGTGGTGTACCTCAAAAGTACCAAATCAACAATAAAGGCATATAGTATTTAAACTACACGCTAATCAACCGACGAAGCAATTATTAAAATCGAAATTTAGAAATTTTTTAGCAATCAATTTTTTTTTCATTATTTATTGATTATAGTCGAACCAGATTCTGTGTTGGGAGAGGCTGAATATATAGTTATAATATAATTAATTATAGTTAAATTTAGAGTTAAATTTAAATCACACACGCACCACACAAGCACACGCACACGCTCACACACACACTCAAACAAACACTCACACTCAAACACAACAAATAATTATTTTTATTTATATAGTTTATGTTAAAATAATTTTAAAACTTTTACGTAAATATCCTCCTTTATTGCCGTCGGAACCCGCATCACCTTCCTCTACAAACAAATATTTGATTAGATATTTAGATAAATTAATTACACACACACACACACACACACACACACACACACACATACAATAATTAAATACCCATTTAATTTAAATATTCCTAATGTTTTATTGTATAACAAAAAGAAGCGACTTATGTATTCATTTCATTTGAAGGTGAGGTCATTACTGCATTACAATTAATTACTGTGATTACAATTTTAGCAGTACAACAACATTAAAAAATAACTATTTGATATTAAAAAATTAGTTTTTTTATCAACCGGGAGCTTCTGTTGGAGCTTTAAAATAAGCAGTGAATGAATTTAATAAATTTAAAATATTAATATGAATAAGAGTTTTACAAGAGTTTTTACAAGAGTTTATGTTTATTACATAATATAGCTAACATTTTAATTAATTTTCAAATGATTATTCAGTTGAGTTATAAATTTTTTCTTGAAATATGAATGGTGTCTGAATAATTTACTGAAGCATGTATGCATTATTTCAATAAATTGATATTAGTTTGAATAAATTTACATAAAACATTTTCAATTGTATAATCTTGTTTATATTAGTATTGAATTGTCATGTCCTGGGCATGACATAAAACTGAATCCACGCTGCCTTGCGTGCTTTTGAGCAAAAGGCTAGGCCCACCGCTTATAACTGGGGGTTGTCGTCAGGATGGGTGTCCGGATGTAAAAACTTACCCCAAATTTTTCTATGCCATCAAAAACAAAAACAACGGCCCTTTGTCCTCAGCAGGCCCCAAATTTTTCTATGCCATTAAAAACAAAAAAAACTGCCCCTAGTCCCCAGCAGGCCTTAATGGTCAAGGGGTGTTAAGAATCTCTGGAATGTATGTAATAGCGAAGGGATGTTGCAGAAAAATTCAGAATAGCCCCTCTGAGGTACTTAGACTTGGAACGCTCAGGCTTGTCTCACACAATAACTACAAAAAAGCCTATTTCTTCGAGTTTTAAAAAAAGTAAACTGATCGCCAAATGATATAGAAATTGGACTCGCCTTCTTGTCAAAACACAACTGAATGAATGACTGGCTAAAAAGTATTTAAACAAGCGTGTCAATCAAATCATTACTCATTGGCAAATAGAGTTATACATTTGGTTGATAACTTTTGATTTTGCTTCACTACTGAATTGTTCGATTAAATAATTTTCTTAGATTTCTCAGAGAGATGAAGTCGTTCCAGGTGTTGAGTTTGTTTGCGATCTGCTGTCTCTGGATGGCTCCTTCAGTGCAAGCTTGCAAGAAATGTTCAGTTGATTGCACCCTGCCCGAGTGCATGCCCTACGATATCTCCCAGCAGAGCGTCTGCACCGAAGTGACCCATGAACTTCCAGTGCCCAGCCAGTGTCAGTGGGGAGCCAACGGCTTGTACAGGCACACCGATTTTGTGAGTTTGTAGTTGATGATTGTGCACAATTTTGTTAGTTACGTAGTTGCTACTTTGGAGGTTTTTTGTTGATGTGGATACTGTTTAAGCATAAAAAAAATTATCATTATTGCCATCGAAATGTTGCACTTTATTTCAATTTTGGGAAAATCACATGGTTGAGTTTGAAATTTTTAAACAAATTTTTTTCTAATCAACATTATTGGCCAAAAGCAGAAAATCATTAAATAGTGTGACAAAATTTAAAAATTTTCCCATTGTAGCTTTTTAAACCTGACTAATTTATTAAGTTTCCTACATTAAAACTCGTCACACTGATAATCTCTAACCGACCACCAACACTCGCAACAGCAACTGCTCAAAGGACGCATCATCGCGTACAAGCTTCAGTGGTTCAATCAAAAGTGGTCCAGTTGGTTCGTGCCCGAGTACAATGACCTGGACTGCAAGCGCAACATGTTGGGTCAGTCGTGTGCTGGTAAGCCTGTCTGCCCTGACTCACTGAGGAAGATGTGGGCTTATTTCTGCGACCATAACCACACCTACATCATCTGCAAGTAGAGAGAAAGAGAGAAAGAAAGAGAGAGAGAGAGAGAGAGAGAGAGAGAGAGAGAGAGAGAGAGAGAGAGAGAGGGAACAGGAAGATATATTTTTGATAATAGTTTCTTAACGCAGAATGATGAAGTGATGATGTTAAAAAAAACTATTTAATTTGAGTTTTTCAATCGAACATGCTTATAATAAACTAATTATTTTAAAATCTGCTTTTGTCGTTTAATTTCATAATGAATTTTTTTTAATTTATATGTATTTGATATATTTGTATAACATATTTTAATTGTTAATAAAATTTTTTAATCTGCAACATATGTGTCTTTAATTTGCGATGTAAAAACTGTTTATAAATGAAAGAAAATTGTTTTAAGTTTTTTGCGGTGACGTGCATTTTATATTCGGGTTAGTATAACCAATAAAATATCCTTTTTGAGATTTATATAATCCTATGTTTGTGAATGAAAGTAGTTATGCGTTCGCCTGTAGTTTCTATGTTAAATTAATATTTGCTTTTGTGTGAAAATTTTTAGAATGTATCTTTCTGTGTGTGCATTCATTTGAGTATTAGCATGTTAAGAAGTCAGGCAAAACTTCATGAAGAGGGCATATCGGTTGAGTTAATTTCGCGGGTATCATGACTGGTTGTCTTGGTCATTTTGAAGTAGTGGACATTGTGCGATTTTATCACAAGTCTTACCATCAGTTGAATTATCACTATTATCATTATTATCATTATTATCATTATCATTATCTTATTATCGTCGTCAACAAAGAAAACTCACAAAAATTTTGAATACATTTAATTTAATATCTCGCTTTCTTATCAAAAGACGTCATATTCGTAGATAGAATGAAAACAGACATCATTATTAAAACAATAAAAACAGTTTATCCGCTATAAATTTGGCAGAATGATATGAAAATATTTTTATATACTAGAGGATGTAGATCCGACAGTTTCTTATTGTTCCAAAATTCAATGTCTCGTTAGCCTGTTAGTTTAGTCAGCAGATAGACGATAAGAATTTATGTCAGTGATAATTTTAATCATGCAAACGCGTACGGTGCATACGAACACACACACACACGCACAGACAGACGAATACACACACGCAAATACAACTGCGCATACAAAACCACACGCGCGCAATTCTTTGCGTACAAACGTGCGTGCATTGGTTTAGAAGAGAAGATAACGAAAAATAATAATGACCATGCTCTTATTTAAACTGATGATGATGGTGATTATGGTGGTGATAATGATGGTGTGGTGGTGATATTGATGATGATGATGGTGGTGGTGGTGATGATGGCGATGATGTTAATGATGGTGGTGATGATGTTTATGATGACAAAAAACGATATTAACGATTACGACAAAGGTGATTATGATTGGGAAAGAGGATGATTCCAATGATGAAGATGATGAATGATGATGGTGATGATGACCCGCAAACAAAATCATTCTTTGTTTTCAACTGAGACGTTTCAACTACACAGCGAAATACCTCGCTATGTAATATCCTAACACACCTTTCAATATAACTAATAAAGCGAATTCATCGCAATATATTAAAATACCTCATATATTGCAACTGTTAAGTTTTAAGACAACCTCATGTTTTAATCAATAAAATACCTCAATACCAGTATACCAATACCAAATACTCAATACCGAAATGTAAAATACCTCACATTATAGTTAATATATGTATGATATGAAATAATATTAGGGTATATATAATAATAATAATAATAATGATGATGATGATGATGATAATAATAATAATAATAATAATAATAATAATAATAATAATAATAATGGGAACGGATCTTTTATTTTTCATCAAATGTGTAAAGTCAATAATTAGTTAATTAATAGAGAAATAGTCATGATTAAAATTAAATTAAATTAAAATAAAATTTGAATTTTAACAAGTCAATCAATTAATAATAATAATAATAATAATAAAATTAAACAGGGGCAACACCCATTAAAATAATAATTTAAACTTTTCGTATTCATGAGGCTTGCATGTTTCAGAGCGTTAACAACATTTTTTATCCTCCATGATGATGATGATGACGACGACAATGATGACGATGACAACGATGATGATGATGTTGTGATCATAGTGATGATATTGATGATGACGATGATGATGACGATGGTGATGATGATGGTGGTGAAGGCAATGATGACTGTGAAGTTTTTGTTGCGGTTGTTTATAGTGATGATGATGAGGAGGAGGTGATTATGATAGCAATGATTATGATGATGATGATGGCAATAACGATGATGACGATGATTTTGCTGGTTTAAAATATGATGAAAGTGATGAAAACTTTTTATTGGTGATGATGAAAAAATCCTAATGTCATCATCTTTAGCATCATCAGATGGTTTTGTAGCATAAAACATTATCATTATTAATTTCCTACACGACATTACATTGTTTTACGAATTGCAAAATATGACAGAATAAACGAACGAATATGAAGATGAACCAACAAATAAGTGAACGAACAAACAAACAAATGACGAACTGTTAGATGAACGAACAGATGAACGAACGAACGAACGAAAGAACGACAGAGATACAATTTGGTCAATATGAAAATTAAATTTTCTTGCCTTATTATTAAGTTGCATTTTAATCAAACTCGTCAGCGAAGGAAGAAATCCTGCTGCTTATAACGTATTTTATCGAAATCACAAATAGCAGTAGCAGCTGCAGTAGTAGTAGTAGTGAAAGGTAGTAATAGTAGCAGTAGTAGTAGTAGTAGTAGTAGTAAGTAGTAGTAGTAATAGTAGTAATTGTTGTTGTTGATGATGTTGTTGTTGTTGTAGTAATAATAGTAACAATAGTAGTAGTAGTAGTAGTAGTAGTAGTAGTATTTGTTGTTGTAGTAGTAGTAGAAATCATAGAAGTGGTAGTATTTTTTATTAATTATATATATTTATTTCGAAGAAATGTAATAAAATTATTTTTTAGACAATTATAATGGAGAATGAAGAATTTAAGTCCGCTTCAAAAATACATTTTTTCAACTTTTAAGACTTCATTCTTCCAGCAGTTTATAAGAACATAATATGTGAAGTAGACAAAGAATAAAAAATACGATAATGTTGGATCGTAAGTCTTGAGTTTCTCAATTTGTTAAAAAATTAGCGCATCATAAATTCAAAAAGTTTGTATGAAAAAATATCATTTTGTGTACGAATTGTTTATTTGTTTTGTATTGATATACATCATTCAGGACGTACATACCTATGATCAATGTTTGTTTAGATTCCTGTGTTTAATTTTGTGTATCTGTTCATGTGTACGTATGCATGCGTGTACGTGTGTGTATGTGCTTTCATACGTATGTTTGTATATGTAGTCATATATACATTGTATACAATACGAAATTTATGATGATTCATTCGCGTGTCTCTGCAATGGAGTCTTTCGTAAAAGCTTTATAAATATTGCTTGTCAAAATTCATTCAAAGAAGTCTGAAAAGTTATTTTAACAGGTATTTTGTTTCAGTAGGAATACAGATTTTCAGAAATTTTATACCTCTCAATATACCAGTTTATAACTTTTAGGTATTTTAAAACGTTTACACATGCAAACACGAAGACATTGGGTGGTAATACTGTTGAAATGTTGTATTATTTTTTGGCTGGAGATTGTGTTAATTTTTGTTGGGATTTTTTGGTATTGTTGTATTAATTTCTGCTGCATATTTGTGCTTGACGCGCCGTGCTGGCGTTTAAGAAATTAATGTAAGTCAACAACTCAAGCTTATGAAGGTTGCATGTCTGTATGTATGTGTGTCTGCATTTTTTGTTGTATGTGTGTGTATGTTTCTATGTGTGTATGTGTGTGTATGTGTGTCAAAATGCTTGAGTCTTTTGGTTTTTTGTGTGTTTGTGTTTGCCTATATATGTCTGTCTGTGTAGGTCTGTGTGTGCCTCTGTGACCGTGATCTTGCGTGAAAATGTTTTTGTATGTATTTTTGTGCCTACGTTCACCTGTTCATCAATGTTTGTTTTGACATAAAAAATTTTACTTGTCCGTACGTATAGGTGTGTCTAAAATTTAGTATGAATAGTGTGTATTTGTGTCTGGTTGAATATGATTAATAAATAAAATAACTATAAATTATAGACAAGAATGTGAGTAGTTGTATTTATATGTGTTTGTTTGTTTGTGTATGTGTGTGTAAGTTGTACGTGTATGTGTGTCTTGGTGTTTTTTGTGTTTGTTTGTTTCCATAATATGTCTGCTCTTTGCTACAGTCATATCGTGCTCATGTGCCAGAAAATTTTTAAATTATGTATTTAATTATTTATTCCACGTGAGTAATTATGTGTGCGTGTAAGTGTGTGATTGTGTATGTGTACAAATGTATGTGTTTGTGTGTACGCATTTGTATGCATCAATGCTAACATGTTTGGAACTTTTGCTTTCTCATTGCGTATAAAGTGTGAGTTGATTGAGTGATTTACTGTGTGTTTATTCAGCTTATGACTTCCAAATTAAAACACAATTTACGATTTTAACGATTGGATACAAAAAATATGTAGACGAGTGTTAACATTCTGTTAATTTAGAGATCAGATTACAGAAAATATTTCATAGAAAAATTGTGATCACTTCAGTGTTTTAAAGCTTCACTACACTTACAAGAAAAGACATGTCCAAAATACACACACACTTAATACAATGGTATTAATACAGCTACACAAAATCGTACTCAAATGAGATTTGTTGCATACGTGTGTTGTATTTATTTACAGCATACATTAGACACATTTATTTTTTATTTTTTGAACGAAACGTAAGGTGTACAATTACACACAAACACACGCACACACACAAACACACACACACGCAAACACACACACACACACATATATATATATATAATACGTATAAATGTATGTATTATTATTATGTACGTGTAATATATGGAGACAATCATGAACAATGAACGCGTTACTAGGACTTAC